AGACTAGATGAAGACACTGCGCTAGATGAAGTAGTTGAACACGACGAGGTTGTAGGTAGACTAGATGAAGACACTGCGCTAGATGAAGTAGTTGAGCACGACGAGGTTTTAGGTGGACTAGGTGAAGACACTGAACTAGATGAAGTAGCTGAACACGACGAGGTCGTAAGTGAACTAGATGAAGCCACTGAACTGGATGATGTACACTCCTTTTTTCGGAAGCAGTACAAAGAATCGCTCTTATGGATTGTATCTTGACAACCAGTGTAGATATCATAAGAGTGGTTGTATTTCCATGAATTACATTCAGTTTTGTCGTCAACGCCTACCAGGCACCAGTCAAATTGAAATGATACAGCAGGGATACATAGTTCACCATTAGTGCCGTCTATCAGATCGATGGCGTTAACAGTAAATGTGTAAGTAAAGTCTCCAGGGTTTGTAATCAACTTGGTATTTGCATTTCTTGAAAATATGAAAGTGTTTACTGGCGACATTATCTTCAACTCACTCAATGAACTTAATGACATAGTATCACCACTCTTGAAATGAACAGTAACTTCATAACTATTACCACCAACCAGTTCAACATTAGTTATACTTATTTGGGACTCTGGTAGGTTCGAATACTTCCATTGTGCAAAATCTGCATTAGAGCACTTGGGATATGGTTCAAATATTTCATCACAAGAAGACAAATGTCTGGGAGAGACATCAACGTTATTATCTGTTACAGGTCTAGAGATAACACCAGCACCAAAAGTTAAACAAAACAAGACAAATTTAGAAGTAAAGAACATTGCGATCGGATATTATTCTTTGCAGAATTTAAATAAGGCCGGTAAAATTGACAATTTTTGCCTTTAAATAGCTCAATAGATGAAGTGACAAAGTTACCTGCCCATGTTTGTTCTAGATCGTATATTCCACACCTTTCGTAATATTTTATACTACTGACATATAGTATTGGATATGTCAATGACCTTAGACACAACGATTACATATACTACTGGTTTATTTTTTCCTATCTTCGGAAATATCTTTTTATTCAGTTTTACCATATTGCTGTCATTTAGTTTACTCTAGATTCCCATACGGCAGTGGTTCCATCTCAAACGGTAATCCCTTCATCTACTTTTGTCTAAGGGTTTGGTTATTTTCTTATTTATGGAAAAATATCCGTAGGGTGTGGTACCGGAAGTCTGTTTATCACCTTTTTAAGACCTTTACGTGTATCCTCACCGTCCTACATGAATTAAGAATTTACAATAAATTTCCAAGCATGTAACATTAGCTTAATTAGTTGTAATTTTTCAACCAAACTTAACGTGGATAACTTCAATAGTGTCTAACATTATGTATTAAAATGAGAAGCTGACATCTATGCTATAGCTTACACTCCATTGGTTATTTAGGGAGATATGCCCGGTCGGCACCTGAAGTTATTTTTCTAGAAAATCCCTTTGACCCATGTATCATTGATATTTTAACTCAATATATAATATATGGGCGCAATAAACCATATCATTTGACAATATCGAAAATCAGTCCTAGTTCGTATGCTCTACAGAATATTTTTTGTACCGTAACCAAGTCATAAAAATTTCGTTTAATCGGGGTTTGAATTTAGGCGTCTGATGCACCCTATTCAAGTGAAGAACCAAAAGGTGACGTGCATAACCTGTTGTAGTTGCAACTTCCTGTATATATATATATTATTATTATTAATACGTTTTAGTTTACGAGTGGCATAAAACAGGGCTTTAGTCAACAGTATCTGCTGAAGAAACAGGAAGCTAGTTAAATTGGAATGTTTCCAAACCAGCAGGCTTAGGAAAGCTATATTCGTACAATGGTCATTTATTCCTCGCTAGTATGTAATTGAGCTACTACTGTATTTACTCCTCTTATAACGAATATGGTGTTCAGGGGTCCAAAAAGCCAATTATAAAGTCGTAATTGCCTGATGTGATATGAATGAAAAGCCTTAATGTCATATATTTAGTAAATGGGTTCAGCTAATTGCGAATCTGCAAATCTCACGGAGATATCTTCTTGCGAACGAGAATCACAAAAAATATTCGGCACTCCTCGTCTAAGCAGAAGCATGCAACACAACTGACCACACCAACCACATATAGTTCAAAGCAGGTGACGGTGTTTTAGTCGACTAAAAGACTAAAATACGATTAAAATTTGTTCTTAGTCGTAAATTCGTAACACCGCCATCACCGAATTTTAATTTCCGATTCGATCGTTTTTTTCACATTCACTTATTTGGTGATTTTGAGTATTATTTTCTTCCCGCCCTAGCTATTACTAGTGACCGATGCAGCAACGAAGGAGGTCATGAACTTGTGTACTAGGTAAATTCTCATTGAAAGGTACTTCATTTGAAGATCCAATATTCAATCCTACATAAGTCACAGCATCTCTTTTCAAGTAATTTTGCACATCATTAGTGAATATATAGCATCTCCTCATTCATTATTAGAATACCTATATGGGCATTGTAATCAATAGTTTAGGAATATACATAAACCATACTGACGACGTAACTCAAATAGTTTGCCTTTTTTGGCTTCGGTTTTTTGGGTCGAAAATTAGACTCTGTTGGTCATGGGAAAGACAAAATAAGTATCTTCCTGCTGAAACGAAATCTCTGTCACCACCTAACTTAACTAACACAAGCTATATAAACTTTACAAGTACCAAAACAGAACGGGCCAAGTATAGATAGGGCTCATTATTGACGAAATTTCAAGGTATATGAAAAGCTTTGGCACTAGAAACAAGATTATACTTGGCAAGGCGTTTATGCAGCATCCAAAACTTGAACATCGATGATCCAAGTGAATAAAATAAAGTTATATCAAGAGTGCCATGAATTTGACAAAGTCCAGTTTCGTTTCAAGTTCGTGAGATAATGCCGAATATAAACAAACTTTCCATTCACCGACAAACTTATCATAAGGAAACCAATGTTAAGCTTGTACTGTGAGCTCTAGATCTGAACTCTTCACGAATTGCCCTAATCTGGATCTTTCATTTTACAGCTTACCAATAATTGATCCAATAGACTATCCTATTAATATCATACATTATCCGAAAATTTTTGAGCCAAAACCAATTAATCTAAACAATATATAAGTCATGTTGTTATCATTACCCCTATGTAGGCATTAATTTTGGAGTTTCTATGAGTAGAAAATGGTTCCAGATCTCTATTCGGAATTAGGAAATGAACTGTTTTGTATTCGCACGACCAAAAATATATTTGAAATTGTAAATCGGGTTATAATCATTATCATATAGGGTAATATTGTATTGATTTGAGGAAATTAGGCCTATTATATACATATTATGTTACCATCGAGCAACTTCAAGTCTAATGAACTGATGTCATCTCGAGATATCCATGAAATGGATTCTGGAACCCAGCTAGACCTTTTGCCTATGATCAAGAAAAATGACTTATCCGATAGCATACCGACAAATGGCGAATCCAACAATAATACGGTGGAATCAGGTGTAGATTATTCGAATTTGGTAATGAAGACAATTAATCCTAAACCTCTGTATGTACCACCTTTGAATTTCTCACTTGTGGAGGATGGTATTTATAGATCGGGATTTCCTATGCCCATAAATTATCCATTTTTAGAACAATTGGGAATAAAAACCATCGTATATTTGGGAGATTTGGGAGAGAAGAAGAAAGGCGAAAAACTGAAGAAGAAAAATAAAGAAGAAGGGGATAAAACGTCTAAGGAAAAGGAGAAAAAGGATAAGGAGAAAAAGGACAAACATGGAACAGCAGAAATAATGGATAATTATAAAAAGTGGATAGAGACAACCGATATAAAATTCCACGATCTCTTCATAAAGTCAGCTCTGGAGCCATTTACGCTTGAAGAAGACCGCACACAGGCGTTGGAAACGATAACGACGGCCTTGCAATTGATAGTAAATAAACAAAACTTTCCAATATTAATTCACTCAAATAAAGGGAAGCATAGAATTGGGGTACTTGTGGGCTTAATGAGAAAGTTATTACAAGGGTGGTGTTTGAGTGGTATATTTGAGGAATACGAAAAGTTTGCAATGGGCAAATCTGAATTCGATCTAGAATGTATTGAGCTTTGGCAGCCAGAACTCTACGTCGAGAACGAATGGAAACCAGATTTTGTAAGAACCTGATATAGATAAGTTTATTTCGATGTACAAAGACAGTTTATCCAAAGATGTGCATTCTACCCGTGTGTACGAAATGTTAAGCCAGTATTCCCTGTGGTTCTTCGAGCTTCCCTGGGCAATATTACTGACAGATCGCATAATACTATAATACTTTATCCGTTATAATTTCAAGTATATACTCATTTATTTCGGTTTACATATTATTCTTCATTTCTCTTAGTTTACTCATAACTTCCACGCTATCCGAAGTACCGGTGATCTTCTGTACGTTTGGATCATTCAATCTCATAAATGGGTTGAATTCCAATTCATCACCAATCGTGAATTTGCCTGTAGTGAATTCATTTTCGTTTACAAATTTGTCTAATTTCTTAATAGCATCATTATTCAAAATAGTCTTAGAAAATTTGATGTTCGACTTGGTATACTCATGACCTGGGTAGACCTTTGTTTCCTTTGGAAGCTTACCCAAAATTGAGTTTAAAGCTTTATCCATCTCTTCTCCAGAACCTTCGAAAAACCTACCGCATCCACTGATAAATAACGTATCCCCAGTGAAAACTGCCTTTTCTTTCGTTGACGAATCCTTAACATAATAACAAATTGAATCTTGTGTATGGCACGGTGTGTGTAAGGCAGTGATTGATAAGTTATCCCCCAAGTCAATGACCTCCTGGTGCGATGGCGTATATGTAACCTGTGGAGAATCTTTTCCAGCAATTATTGGTAAATCAGGGTATTTCAAATGGAAATCACTATTTCCCCCGGAATGATCATAATGATGATGAGTATTAACTATTGCCTTCAACTCGAAACTTGGATTATGTTTGTTGAAGTATGCCATTACATCCTCGGGCTCTGCTGGATCTATCAACCAAGCGTTCTTAGTAGGCGTATCTATCAATAAGTACGAGTAATTATCACCAGTACCCCATCTCATAGGAATTGATTCGACATGCATTTTTCTTACTGAATTACGAATTAATGATTGACTTATTCTTCTTAAAATCGTCATATATAAATATAAAAGAAGTAAATTTCTGAGTTGTAATCCTCCTACCATGGTAGGTTAATTCCATATAGCAAACAGGGATTTATTATATGCAGTATGGTTTGCTGCTCAGACTATACTAGTATAGAACCTGAAATTATGACCGATAAGGCATCAGCAAGGCATACTAGGTTGAATATAGTTAGTATGAGATCATAAGACTTAATCTTTGTGATTCCACTTCTTTTCGACCATTCCTTCAGGTGGACTGGTTTCATATTTTTTATTTTGCGCTTCCTCCCAATTTGTGGTCAAAACTGTACCGTTTGATTCGACGTAAGATTTCATCATTGCTCTTCTAGTATCATCATCTGTATCTTTGTATAATTGAGCAAAAAACTCGTTTTCTGATTTTTCGTTGTCGTCGTCGTCGTTAATTTTGAATGCGGACCAATTGATAGATTTTTTTGAAGAAGATGGGTATGCCAACCCCGTATTCTTAGTAGTATCATTCTTGTCCGTAGGCTCCGAGACTGTAGTTGCTGCAATATTTTCCGATGCCTCCAAACTGGACCACTTGCAGAGCTCTTTCTTTTTTAACGTGATTTCTAATTTAGTAGAATAGATCCGAGAAGTAGAATGTTGTGGGTCGATTTCGGCAAATAATGGTTCAAGGTTGTAGTTATATTCCGACGTAGCGGAACTTGGGAACGATACATTTACCAGATTTGGCTTAAACTGGACATGTAACTCAGGTTCTTTGATATTTTTGGCATATATAGTTATGATAACCGAATCATTTGTTTGGTACCAGTCGTCCCTAATTTTGACTTTTAACGGAGCTTGGTTATTGATCACATCGATATTTGTAGATGGTTTTCCATGTATATCTTTAGCCTCGTTCTTACCCGATTCGATATTCAATATAGCTTCGTCTTCCTCGTTCTCCGAATCTTCGACTGGGGGGTTCTTTTTTAAATCATATTCACATTTATTTCTCCATGACTCAACTGTTGCTTCGGGACAGTCAAATTCCGCCGATTTTTCGAAATTTTTCAATGCAACTTTGTAATTCTTTTCCGCATAATAAATTAGACCCAATCTAAAGTAACATGCTCCTAGCTCTGCCCGCTTGCCCTTCTGTTCCGCAATAACGAATGCATCAGAGACATCCTTCTTTGCATTTTCGTAGTTGTTCAATTTCTGATATGCAGTTGACCGTTTTAAAAGTGCTTGAATCGATTTTGGGTGTTCTTTCAAGGCTGCCGTATAAGTCGCAATTGCACTTAAATAATCCTTTTCTTTCAACTCCGTATCTCCTTTTGTAAAAAGCTGTTCAATCGCCATTATAACCAATATAATTAAGTACTATATCCAGTAATGTTATCTTTTTGTATAGTTGATCGATAATCTAATACTTCAATCATTAAATTTCTACATTTCGCATTTAGTCTAATACATTATGAAAAAAACACAAACTATATATTAAATCACAAATTACCAAATTCTTCTCCAAATTTTTGTCCACTTGCTAATATTACTAGTTGATTCTATAGATCTTTCAGTATTAGGCAAGGCAATCCAAAGACTAAGCATACCGCAGTATAGTCCAATAAAAGCTGGCATAACAACGTAGGTACCAGCACTCTGAGAGATTAAACCGACTATGAATGGGAAAATCGCTCCACCAGACGACCCGAAGGCAGTGATTATTGTTAATGAAATAACCTGGATTTTTCTAGGTATAAGCT